TATACGTAACTAGTATACTAATAACTAAGGTAGTAGTAGTACGTAACTAACTAACTAACAACGGTAGTAGTAGTACGTAACAACTAATATATATATATATATATATATATATATATATATATATATATATATATATCGGTCGAATCTGAACCAACGTAATTAGATCCAAGCTAGACCGAAATCTAATCTACCCCAACTCGTTATTGTTTTCATTTATTAGCGGTGGCAATGGACAAAGATCCGACCCATACCCGCCAGGTATACCGATACTGGTTCGGGTATGGGTCCAAGTTTTGGACCCATGGGTAGGGTTTGGGTCCAATAAAGGATAAATAGTTTATATACTTTACGTCTTCCCCTGGTTTCCGAAATGGCCAAACCCATCGCCATCCTCCCTCTCTACAATTCTCCCTCTCTCGATTTCTTGGAGACATAATGCTCTTTTTGGATCTCGAATGTCTCTCTCTCTCTAATCGCCCAACCCTAAAAAATCAGTTCTTTGTTTTTCACTATTGTAGGCTACAAAAAAGGAAGCTCATAGTGAAGGTAGCAATAGACCCGACTAGACTTGGGACCCGACGGGATAGACCTAGGACTCAACGGGTACGAGTATGGGTCCAACTTTTGGACCCGACGGGTCGGGTCTAGGTCCAAAACCTGGATTCAAATACATTCGGGTCTGGGTCCGACCGGACCGGACCCGTTGCCGCCCCTACCATTTATAGTAGGCCTGGCAATGGGCTAGCCCTGAACCAACCCCTAGTCCGCATAGGACTGTCCCAAGACCAGGCCTAAGATTGGCAGTAGCCCTATCAAGGCTAGGCTAGGCTAGATAAAATGGAAATTTTTTTTTAAAAAAAATAGGGCCATGCCAAGCTGAACAGGGCCAACCCTTTGGTGACCCTAGCCCTATCTCAGCCCTCAGGCCTAGGCCCTAAGCCCTATTGCCCCAGCCCTCAGGCCACAAAATAGCTCTAGATTTTTAGGGCGGGCCGCGCGCCCCCATCCATATCCTATTGACAAAAATACCCTTTTCATCGCAAATATGACCAAATTGCTATGGGGAATTAGCCTTTGCCTAAAAAAACAGGATGTGTAACTTACCCCAAAAGAAATAACACTATATGTGAGAACAGTATATGTGTATTCCAAATGACTTTGTGATCTCGCGTGAGGAAACTGTAGAATATAACTTATAATTTGTACGTATACACGCACGCACCTTCACTAACAATCCCAAAACCAGAGATCGAAAAACATCCCATTTTCAGCAGAGGTTTGTAACCATGGCTCAAACCCTAAAAACCCTTAGGGTTCCTCCAAATTCTGCATCCCTAGAAGAGGCAAGAAAGAGAACCTTTGAATTCTTCAAACTTGCTTGTAGGTCAATCCCTAAAATCATGGAAATCTACAATCTGTATGATGTGGTTACAGTCTCCCAGCTTCGCTCTGCTGTGTCCTCTGAAATCAAGAGGAATTCCAATATTGAAAATCCAAAGGTACGTTTTTTTTTTTTTGGGTCAATATAAATGAAATTCCGGAGGCTTGGTTGTTTAGAGGTTGAATCATGGAGGTGTTGAGCTTTGGTTGACGGTAATTAGGGTTTCGGAAGCTATGGATTGCGAATTTTCTGAATTGGTTTGTAGGTTAGGGTTTATGCAGAAGAAATTGTTGTCGTTTGTTGGGTTTTGTGAGCTAGGGTTCTCTTATGTTGATTTTTTATGCTTGATTGATAGGGAAATGGTCGTTGTTTGTTAGATTTTTTGTGAATATTCAGGATTCATTTGGTTGGAATTTGCGTTTTATGTTTAGATCATGTTCTTGCAAGCTGTGTTTATAAATTTGATTATTACTATTTTCTTCTGGGTTTGGACTGGAGGGAAATGTAGGTTCTCATGTAATTTAATTGCATTATTTCATTTTTTCTGTTTTCATTTTTTCATAGATATAGCGGGGACCAGTTTGAGATGAGCTTTACTAAAACGAAGAAGTAGAGAATGTAGGCTTTGGATTTCGTTTTAAGTTATGGTTTTTTTGTTGGTAACGTGGGTCTCTGTTTGTTGAAGATGACAAATTGATGAAATAGGATTGTTAGCAGTTATTACCATTTCTGCTCATTTTTAAAATGCAATAAAGATTTTTTTTTTCTTTTGTTTTTTTCTTTGTTCAGGATAGAGAATGCCTTTTTTTTTTAATCAAATTTTTTTTATCTACCCTTCCATTTTCTATATGCAAGTTAGTTTTTTTTTTTTCCCTTTAGCTTTGGGGTATGATGATGTAGAATTTCTTGGGGCTATTGTGTGGTCGTTGACTCACAAGTCGGGAATACCATTGCAATTCCTGTTTCTGTTCTCTTATGATCATCACATTTTGATTAATTCACTTATAGGTGGTATATAGGCATCCACCTATGAAACAGAAAGAGGGCAAAGATCTTAGAACACTCACTATCAATGCATTACTTAGTGTCGAAATATTATATTTTGGACAATACCAGTAAATGTTTCTAGAGCACTTCTGATCATCTGAATTCTAGAAGGCATTTTATTCAAACTGTGCTCCAAATATGTGTTTGTCTCTCAACTGACATTGGGCAAGGTTTTGTTATAAAAAATAAAAAATGAAGACGCTTGTCAAAAATAAACAAATAAATAAATAATAAAAATTAAAAATGAAGACATTCCCAATGGTTTGTTTTATCATTTTGTTGCCTGGATTTTCTAGGGAGCAAGAAACTAAAGTAGGTTCTTCTATCATTGGTTTAAAATTTAAAGTTTGAAGTATAGCATCCTCAATTGTTTATTCAAGTTGGACGATGACTTGTTTATGTGTTACTTACAATGATAGTGATCATGTGGCTTGTAAGAACTCATGAGACGTGATGCTGCTAATCCATGTTTACGACCTGACTCTCCCGAACAAAAAATGTTGGGCTGAACAAATATAAAAATATTATTGAGATCACACATTCATGAATGTAGATTGTTTCCAGGAGAAGAAAAAAAAAAGAACTTCTGATTGTAGCTTATGTTCCATTGTTTTTTGAGGAAAGGTTAACTTTGTATTAAAGGTATGAACTTACAAAATGAGCAGAAATCAGATGGGCATCCCACAAGTTGGGTGCTTAGAGTACACTTAGAACTGTATAGGGGGAAGAGGAAGAAAAAGATGGGAGAATAGAAAGGGGGGAGAGGGGGGAGGGGAGGTACAATAAAAGTAAACGGACAGCTATGCTATGGTTTAAACTTCTAGCATGTCCTCTAAGTTACAGACAAAAGGCGCGGCTGCTACCAAATCGGAGTCGTGAGTGTCGCTGCAATAGTTTGGTGAGGAAAGAAATCTGGGTTGATGTTGTAGGTGATAAAGCTGAGACGCATCTCTAGACTAGGCTTATGGCGTAATGGGCTTGAGTTCTGAAACGGGTTTGGTCCTTAGATGGGTATGGCAAGGGGCACCTTTTAGAGTGGGGAGCAAGCAATTCCCATTGGATTATATGATGCGAGCTGTGGGGTTGCGAAGGTTTCGCAAATCAACATCATGTGGCCTCATAGTACTCGGCTTGAGGCAGTTTTTGACGCGAACTGTGGGGTACATCTAGCGTTGGCAGCCAACTGCCAAGGGTAGCTTTCAATGGTATTCTTCTAAACAAAAGAGCATTTGTTGGCCTCCTAGATCTCTGCAACAGGAAAAAATACGGAGAGAAAAGAAAAAGCACAAGAGGGTTAGAAGGAGGGCATGATGGAGCAGAAGAAGAGGGTATGATAGCAGAAGAGAATTGAGATACAGAGAAGGAGGGGCAGCCTCAGATCAGAGACGAGGAGAGAGATAGAAGGATAAGATAGAAGAAGATAGATAATCATTTTAAAAACTTAAGTACGAAAAGAATGGGTGAGGGAAAAGAACTTAACTAAGTAGCATAAAAGAACTATATTCCATGTTTCTTATGTTCCATGTTTTTCTTTGGTCGCAAGGGAATTTCTCCCATTGAAATCTAATGGGGATATCTCTTTATTATACAATTGCATGTGTTTCTATGTCCCCTTTGTAGGTTCTTCTTCCTACAATGCTAGATCCTTCATTGATCCCTCCCTCCTCTCTCCCTCCCTATCTACCTACTGCCAAATTTGGTTGTATGTCTCTTTCTTCAGCATGCCCCATCTATGGAGAGGGTACAAATGCTTTGTCATCTTCTCAGTGGCTTCCTATCTCACATGATGTGTTCTTTGTTAGAAATGCATTTGTTTGCAATCCAAAGGAACTTCATGTTGTTTGTCAAAGCTTGACACCATGGATTATACAATTTTATTTCTTGCATTTCTTTTTTGTCTCTGTTATACGATCATTCATGTTTCTTTCTATTCATCATCATCATCATCGTCAAAGCCTTTTCCCAACTAATTGGGGTCAGCTTCACTAATCCTGGTCCGTCATTATACTCTATTAAGGACCATACCCTCAGCGAGACAATAACTCCTCATATATTTTCTCACTACTTCCAACCATGTTCTTTTGGGCCTACCTTTTGCCCTTTTGAACCTTCTACTTGAACTAACTCGCACCTCCTAACAGGTGTTGTACTGGGTTTGCGCCACACATGGCTAACCACATAAGTCTATACTCTCTCATCTTATTGCCTATTGGTGTTGCACCAAAATTTTCAGGAATGTATTCATTTTGAATTCAATTCCTTCTTGTCTTGCCACTCATTCATCTCAACATCCTCATCTTCGTTATACTCATTCTATGGGTATGTTGTTTTTTGACCGCCCAACATTTTACCCCAAAGAGCAAAGCTGGTCTCACAATTGTCCTATAGAACTTGCCCTTCAGTTTCATGGGTATGCGGTGATCACATAAAATCCTAATTGTACATCTCCACTTCACCCACCCAGCTTTAATTCTATATGCGACATCTTTCTCAATCTCTTCATTTTCCTAGATTATCGACCCAAGATATTGAAAATGCGCTGTTTTTGGTATTTCCTAGCTGTCAATCTTAACTACTTCCTTGCCTCTACTCCTATTATTACTAACTTGCATCCCATATAATTTGTCTTAGTCCGACTAATTTCAAAACCTTTAGATTCTAGAGCATCCCTTTTGAAGTTTTAACTTTGTGTTGACATTGTTTCAGGTCTCATCGATCAAAACTATGTCATTTGCAAACAACATGCACCACGGTACCTCATCTCGTAGGTGCGTAGTTAAGTCGTCTATAACTAAGATAAATAGGTATGGGCTCAATGCTAACCTCTGATGTAGACATATTGCCACTGAAAATTCACTCATCTCTCTACTAGTTTTTCGTATACTAGTTAGCACTCCATCGTATATATCTCTCATTAAGTCGGTGTAGTGTCTGGAGATTCCTTTTTTTTTCAACATCCAACAAATCAAATCTCAAGGTACTTTATCATAAGCTTTATCTAGATCAATAAAGACTATGTGGAGGTCTTTTCCCTTTGCCTTAAACTTCTCAATTAGTTGTCTAAGTAGAAATATAGCATTGGTTGTTGACCTCCCTGGCATAAAGCTGAATTGGTTTTCTGATATACTCGTTTAATGTCTTAGTCGTTGCTCAATCACTCTCCCCCAGAGCTTCATAGTGTGGCTCATAAGTTTGATCTCTCGATAGTTCGCACATGTATGTCTCCTTTGTTCTTGTAAATAGGTACTCTAGTATTTTTCCTCTATTTTTCTAACATATTCTTTGTTTACAACACCTTGTTGAACAGCTTAGTCAGCCAGTCAATGTGAATCTCCCCCATGTACTTCCAAACCTCTATCGGGATACTCTCCGGTCCGAAAGTCTTTCCTATCTTTATCCTTTTCAAAACTTTATTCACTTTCGATATCTTAATCATACTGATGTATCTATGACCTCTGCCCTCATTTATGCCACTGGTTCCTTCTACTGCTATGTTCCCATTGTGTTCATCTTTTTAGTAATTTTTGAAAATAAACTCTCCATCTTTCGTTGACCTCTTTATCCTTCACCAAGACCCGTTGATCCTCACTCTTAATGATCCTTATGCTTTTTCTCTCTCATTTTTGCTGATTTGAAGACATTCTTTTCACATTTTCTTGTTCCCAGTATACAATGTAGATTGTTTTGCCTTAAGTTTAGCCTTACTTACTATTTGTTTAGCTTTTTTCTTTGCATTTTTATATTCTTCTGAGTTTTGATCATTTCCATTACACTGCCAAGTTTTATAACATGATCGTTTTTCGCTAATGGCCTTTTTAACCTCATCACTCTATCACCAAGTTTCTAGATTCTCCTAAAACTTCTTTTGCCACTTTTTTAATACAGTTAGCCATCTCATTCCACGTAACATTAACGTCATGTTCAGAGTTTCATTTCCTTCTTTAAATAATTTATCCCCAAATAAGTCTATTTTCTTATTTTTAAAATTCCACCGCCTTGTTCTTTGACACCTATTATTGAAAAGAAATTGTTATGCTTTATCTTTTCTTCCTTGAATCATTTCCTTCATCTAGGTCCCCGTAAAACACTTAAGGCAAGTTTGTGTTGTCCCTAAGTCCATCTCAAATTGATTGCTAGTATGTTATATTTGCTTATTTACCAGACAGGTTTGCATGGGAGAATGAACATAGACCACCAGCATCTTTTTCTTTGATTCTTTAAGTGTCGCAAGCAATTCTTTGCTCCAGCTATCGATATATTTATCAAGCCTCTACCTTTCCTCTACATTTCCTTTGGCTGCATCCACTATCAACTAGCAATGGATGGTATTGTATTGTGTCAAATTGAGATCTAGTTGCACTATTAGGAACGAAAGGTAGACTGGAGTTATGAACTTAGGAATCAATTAAAGCTAACGGAATTAGGGCCGCTTACATGTATTGTTTGGTTGCCATGGGTTATTATGAATAATAACCTCAATGCAAGTAATTTCATGCAGTTTTCGTAAGTAATTTTGTTTGTGTAGTAAAGATGTCCATGATTCACATGGTTATCTTTGTTCTGCATTCATCTTTATTTTATTTCCTACATAAGGCTCTTTGTGATCTCATGGAAGGCCCATAAGGCAGGTTTTATGAGCTCAGGAACATCAAGTATTCAATCTGGTTTCAGCTCAGCCATTTAGGTTTTGAAACATTTCAATTCGTGTTTTGATGCTCCTGAGCTAGGATTCCCTTTCTTTTAATATTTGTAATGATGTCTTACGGGATGGCATGTAGACAATCATCTCATCTATCGAGTGTATTGTTTCTTTCTAATGGAGGATCTTTTTCATATATTTGCTTATGTAGGGGGGTTGTCAAGATGGCTTAAGTCGTCACTAGGGTATATTTACTTGACATAAGTGTGCCGAAGACCTTACTGTTCATTCATCCATATTGCAGGTCACTTTGCTTAAGCTAGAAATAGATGTAGCCTGCATATAGACTGATCCTGACCATCGTTGTGACAACTTGTCTGTAGGTTTTCTTTGTAGTTATTTATTGAGAAAAACTTGTCTGTTGTTGATCTGACCCTTTGTTGAAGAACTTGAGCTGGTTGTGGATTCACTTGGCTACTTACTCAGATGCACTGTTTGGCGATTTCGCTGTACTACCATGGATTTGTACTGACTTGGCCCTACTTGATCTAAATTCTTGGCTTGGATCATGTCGGCTGATTTGACATGACCCTTCGGCTTCTCCATGGGAAAGTATGAATCCAGATTGGATCTTTGGATTCTTGAATCTTGACTGGACGTAATCATCATTGAATGGTGCCTGATATTCACATTGTTAGTCATTTCATCACCTTTCAGATTATTGCTGAATTAGACTGCCCTTGGTTGACAGCTTCTCATGTGCCACCTTTTTTACTGCTTGGGTGCATGGACATGATGCTTGGGAGTGTTCCATGGTGGTTCCTCATGAAAGAATGTAACCTTTCCTGCTCTGGTTTTTACTCCCATCAATTCTTCCTGGGCATTCCAATAAGTTTGGAGCTATATGCCTTCAATCTTTGGGGCCTCACTGCTGGCTTTACCAAATGGTTGATAATTGATGAAGTTTTCAAGTATGGCCATTTATAGTTTGGAAGGGCAAAAACTCTTTGTTGTAATTGAAGAGCTGGAAACACTGAAGTTTCTGTAGTTAGTGCAAATGAAAGAAGTAAAATGGCTCTTATCTTTTGCATTATTGAGATGATTTGTCACTTCTCTCTCCTACATGACCTTGCTAGTCTTTTTACCACTCCTACTAAGGTTCACCATGCTAGCGTTAATACAATATAGGCTGCTTCCAGTCTAGATCGCCATACTAATCAGCATATGACATAATTTTTGTCGTTTTACATGGGAGAACAAGAACCTGATTGATGGTATTATTTGGGCCTTTCTAAATGTTGCTATAGCACAAATTTCCAATCTGTTCCATGGAGATGGCCATAATTTCCTTGTGGCATGAAATGATGAACTGTGTCTACATGGAGTAAGTTTTAGCTTTAGGCATCTCTAGGTTTTTTTTGGGTTGCTCTGTCATGCCAGCTCACAGCTACTGATTGTCGATTTAGTGGAATTTTCCTTTTTTTTTGGGTGTGTGTGGCAACTAGTGTTCATTAGCCCAGTTTTCTTTTTTGACATAAAATTTAGCGTTTTACTCATTGCTCATATATAGGGCTAATTGGCTTTCCTATTCTGGCAACAAACTTCAACAGCATTGGTCCTAATACTGGGTATGCTAACTTATGCTTCTTTCTTTCCTTCACATTTCTCTTCCTTTAACGTACCAATCTTGATGAGTAATACTGGAAATCATGCATTCATGACATCATGTCTCAGCGGTGTGTAGCTCATCTAATGGATCAGTTGATAAGACTGTACCATGGCATGCATGCAGCATACCATCATGAGAGTTGTTTTACTAGTACCGTTGACGGGAAGATGGAGAATGATATCGTTATTGGACCCAGGAGTATGGGAACTGATAAGATGTTCTGTCAAAAAGTTCATTATCTGTTTCTAGGTACCTATAATTTGATCATGAGGTGTGAATTGCTTTAGAATATGAAATGTCCAGAGATCAGGTCATTCATACTAGTTTTTTGTTTCTTCCATTCTTTTCTTGTAAGTTCTTTCTAGTCAATTTTATAATTCGTTTTGAGCTTGCTGCCCTTTCACCATATTTCAGGAAACAAATCTTGAGAATCCAGTGATGCTTGTTATTTGCATAGCACTAAAAGCCAGCATGGGAATCGCTTGACAATATCATTGGTAGAAACTCCATTGAGAACGGTGAAGAGGACTTAAAAAAACAGACAGCAGAAATGAGAGGTTGTCAAAATGCTCGAACTCGGATGTTTTTTACTAGACATTTATGAACTAGATTCTTGGTTGCCTCATCAAAATCACTAAGTTTAGATGGTTGTTGCAAGGTCCTCCCATTTCCACAGTCTCTGACTTTGAGGGGAATCCCTTATTATTTGGATCATTGAACTTATTGAATATATACCTATTAACTTAGTTAATTTTCATTTTGGTTGATCAATCTGATAATCTGATTCACTGACTATAGACATGCCTAAAAGTCCAAGAAATTTAAATATGTACCGACTAGCATTTCTTCTTCTAATAAATACTAAATTAAATAAGTGAACTCGTTTAAATATAGGTCTTATCCCATAAGTATAACAAAGAAATCGTAACTTAGGTGACCCCAAACTCAAGCCAAAGAAAGAGGTAGAACTAACTGAGGTTGCATCTTGTATATGAAACATAAGTTATATGGAAAGAAGAAAGTTTTTTGTATTTTCTTCTCGTTTTTTTTTGAAATCGTCACCTGTTGTATTAATAAAGAAGGTATTACTGTAGTCTTTCGAGATAGCCCACAGGTCAGGCTTCTCGGCAAAAAATGGGCTTACCCAAACGGGCCCTACACAAAAAATTAGTGGGGCTTATAACAAGTGCCCATTACAAGGGATATATAAATTTTACATTGGATCCATAAAGTCGAGGCTACAAAAACGACTGAGGTCGAATCACCAAGGTGAGCAGACCAGTCCCTAGGCTTTTAAGGATCCGCATCACGAGCAACTGCAACTTCTCTAGCCAGTTGGTTCGTCAAGGCATTTGATTCCCTCCAAATATGCCTCCATAAGACGATCGTATCCCTGCAAATGTGCATAATCTCATCATATATCGAAGCAAGGTACCAGGGTGGAACAGCCTTTCCAGAAGCCCAAGTGATAATATTTTTGGCATCTCTTACCACAATCAGAGGTTGTCCCCACGCGGGGTCGAATAATTTGAGACTAGATAGTAGGGCCAAAGACTCCGCTAGCTGGGAATCGGCGTGGCCAATGAACTTGGAGAAAGAGGCGAGGATATTGCCACTGTGGTCTCTGAAGACCCCTCCTATGCCAGCTGGGCCGGGGTTTCCCAAAAAAGTTTTGTATTTTCTTTGAACAGAACTTATATTTTTATGTTTACATACTGCTATGTGCAACATTAATACAGGTTAACGAATAAATGCATCAAAGCATCTGTGGAGTTTGTCACGAGATGATTCAAGAGGCGTTTGCTGGTTCAGCAACGATGTGCTTGATGGATCCTTTCTACGTATCAAGTCATTCTTCTATTTCTTCTTTGGATCCTTTGTATCCAAAGGCCACTCACTTAATGTCACAAGGCTGGCTTGGCTGGTGGTGCCACATCCAGGGAGGATGATATAAGTAATGAATGAGATTATTGATGATACAAGTCATGGATGATGTTATTGATATTCCCAACTTGGTGCCTCCTTTAGTCATCTCTTGAAGGATGCCAATGCAGTTTCTCTCTTTAGGTATAATGAAGTTTGGGGAATAATCTTCCACTTTTTCGGTTCTTATCTCTATATACATCCCAATCTGATTGCATTGCTGTTGTAGTTTGCTGGATGTGTTTTTCTTGAACTTTCGAGAAGGTTACTTGTCATAAAAAGAGAAATAAGCAACATATATTATAGATTGCAGTTATTGGCAACACTAATAATATGAGCTACACTCTTTAAGTTAGATTTTTATGATGTGTATGGGTTCTTGGACCCAATCTAGAAGTTACAGTTGAAGAGCTCCATGTGGCTTTGATATATGGTGCTGGCTTTATCTCCTTATAACTCTTGGGTTTTGTCATATATAAATGTTACATAGTGAAACAGATAGGCGACGGGGTGCGCTTTTTTTTACATATAAATGAAGCCTTAGTTCTCTTTATTTTTTCACCCATGGACTTACTCGATCATCCTTCTTTTCATATTCTGATAAGAATTTTGGTTGATTGTAGTTATTCATATTTGTCACCAGTCTACGGAACTAATTTGGTATGTTGCAATGAAACAAGGGCAGGTGATCGACATGCTTCTTTTCAAAGGGATGGAGGAGCTCGGCAACATTGTCCAACACTCGAAGCAACGACACCACCTTATTGGCCAATATGTGGTTGGGCGTGAAGGGCTCGTGAAGGACTTGGGCACCAAGGACCACGGGATCTCCGATTTTCTCAAGCAGTTTTACACCAGCAACTATGCATGAATCCAAATAGACTATGCATGAGGGATGCAAACAGACTCATTTCTTCATAAATCCCGAGGGATGTGGAAATAGAATAGAGAAAGAAAGAAGAAAATCCCAGGAATTTTCTTGATAATATGAAGATTGGGAGTTGGTTGTAATGAGTTGTGTGAGATTATTTATGTCGATTTCTTGCTATTAAGGCCTCCAACTGCAAAAATGACCACTGCTTAATTGGAGCAATGATTAATTTCTGCTTAATAACAAGAGGTGAGAACTTTGCCTTCCGTTTTGTTGTAATAATGTTTTTATTGAATTCTTCAAGATTTATTCCATTAGATTTTGAGAGAGAGAGACAGAGAGAGAGAGAGAGAGAGATGTCGAGAAATAAGGGGAAGGGGAAGGGCAAGAGCAAGGTCACTTGGCATGGGTTTCTTTAATATTTTGGTCAAAAGTTTGTTGGCATTTGGATAATGTAGTGAAGAAAAAAGCTTATAATAAGTTGGCAAGCTTGCAATGTAGAATTTAGGTAAACCTCAAAAATCCCTTCGGAATGATTGTTTCCATACTAGAAAGCCTCCCATGTACATCTTGGGACACTATATCTGGAACGATCATTTTTAGGATTTTTAAATATTTATAGATTTGTTTGATTTACACTTTTTAAATTTTAAATTATATATAAGAATTAGGGCTGGAAATAGATCTTCAAACGATTGTCAGTTTCCAGCATCAAAATTGCATTTTCCTGTAGAGTTAAAAGGTGCGGTTTGTCTAGAGCTGAGGCTGTAAACAATCAAAGTAAAGTTCACCTTCAAAGTGTTGAGAAATGTGGTTTCAATGCTTGAAATATTTGTAATAGCTTTAAAATATATTTTTATCTTTAATTATAAAACTTAAAGCTTTAAAAATAGTATAGATCGAGCAGATCAATAAAGATTTGAAATTCTTGAAAATTGACGATCTACAAATATGTTTTAAGATGCACAGTTTTCAAAACTTGAAATCTATTTTTTTCTTATGTTTATGCATCTTGGTGTCGAGATGATCAATTTGAAGATATTTGAACATCAAAACAACCTCTTCAAGTGAAATTGTTGGGGCTTGTTCTAATTTAATTGTTTAAAGCCTCAGCTTTATATAAAGTTTTCGAGTTTAAAAGGTATATTGCTTATGGGAAAACCTAAAATCCTCAACTAAGAAAATATAGCAATATTGCTTAAGAAAATTTTATTATTTATTTATATTTTAGGTAATTCAGCAGTAGGAATCAATCTTCAAATGTAATTTTGCTAGTATTGCTAGAAGTCAATTGCTAATCACTCAAGCCCAAACTCGATTCCTAATTTGAGAGTAAAGTGCTCTTCCAAATAGAGCACAAGAATATTATTATCAGGATGTTTGCATGTTTCAATAACTTCATTTTCAACCAAGGGGAAGAGTTTTCAACGACAATAGCAGAGGATTTTCACAGTAGTCATGCTTTCAAGTAGCCCCATTCAAACAAGCCTCACCTCAAATCTTTGTTTGGAAAGCACTTTCGGAAAAGAAAATATCCAAGATAGCTCTAAAATCAATTTTCAACACTAACAATAAAATTTGAAACTAAAAAAATGGTACAATTCTTACGGATCTGTAAACACTTAATTTTATACAAAATAGACAGTCTAGATAATTTGTTACAATATACACTATTTTAAGAGCATGAAATCTTTTTTTTTCCATAACCATAATATTCAAGCCAAGATGATTGATGTAAAGGTATTCTTTACTTGTTTTGATAGGGCTGCAGCCCTATCAAACCATTTTCCTAACAAAGAAAAAAAGAGATGATTTCTAGGCCATGCATAAAGGCCCCATCTTCAAATTATACGGGGTTCTGGCACTTCAGTTGCAACTTGTCCCAAGAGATTTGAGGTTCACATTCCAAACTGACCCGTGAGAAGGAAAATAGGCATATAAGCACAGAGAAGAAAATAACCCCCAATTTGATGGTATTTTGCCTGGAAATCAGAACATTTTCATTTTCCTAAACTTGGAATTGCAGAGATAACTTCTCTCCACCAAATTCCCAACCAAGAGAAATAACAAGAAAAATAAAGCCAAAAAAAAAAACTCAAATAAACAGTCACAAGAGCATCCTCCCAAGCTAATACCTGTCTGTGCCAGAATCTAGGTTACGTACACATTTTTCATGAATGTAAGTGTGCATATATGCCTGATCCCCCACAAGCACATGATAAATAAGATTCACATCTATGCTCATAAAAACACGCACATGCACGCAACCATAAAAGCATGTGAACAAAAGCACACAAGGACGTGTGTGTGTGTAGACACACAAAGCCTAAACATCCTGTTGTTCTAGGATAAGCCATCAAAGCCCACATGTATGAATCAACAGATGCCATTCACACTCGATGTCATACATATAAACACCATTATATGGTGCAAGAGGGAGGGGTACCCTAGTCCACACGCTTGCCATTGAGGCAATACTTTCAACAACTAACAAAACAGTGCCCATGCAACTGTCAAGAAAAAGAAAAAGACAACCCCCATGCTACTTATCTCACCAAAGAAAAATAATCCCACGCCTTCTTAAATGGCTCTCCCTAAGAAAGAAGAACATGTCATATAACCTCACCAAAATACGAAAACATCCAACAACGGTAAGAATGTATATATCACAATCATGCATCATAATGTATGTAAAATGAACTTGGGTTATCCATCAAAATGATAACCAGTACATAACCCTCGAACAAAAATAACTAAATAGATATATTCTAGCCTATCTCAGCATGCTGCTTCATTGTATGAGGAGGTATAAGTCCAATTTATGTCCAATAAAACTTGGCTTACCATGATCTACAAGTCCTTTTGATAACTTAGAAAACCAACATACCTCAGACCCAAAGCACGCTGCCCATCCATCTACTCCTTTCATTGGCCTTGGCTATTGGCCTATCATTAGTCCAAGAGATCTGAGATGGCTGTCTTCTTAAAGGCATCAGCCTTAGTTAGCACGGAGGCCATAAACCTATTTGGGAAGACATTGTCGGCCTTCAGTCTCTCTCTAAACCCATATGCTGGGGTGTTTGCATTCACATAGGTTTGCAAGAGGGTTTGATAATGGGACATTCTTCCTACATATCCAGCCTGTCTCAACCTATGGAAAATCTTTTCAGCATTATGAATATCACCTCTCTCGCAATACTTTTCCATGATGACCATATATGAAGAATACAAAGGCTTCAATCTATTCTTTGAAGACTGACTTGTCCAATTATTTTGCTGAGCTGCTGCCTTGGCCAAGATTGAATCTGCCTTCTCCACCTCGCCAGCCTCCACATAGAGCCTCACTAGGGCATCCCAAGTGACAGGCCCGATTGTGATCCCATTATCAGCCATTCGCTTCACAAGGTCCTTCCCCTTGTTCAGCTGCTTGTGGGTCGTATATACCTTGATGAGAGCACTGTAATACCTGATATACATGAATTCAAATGTACATATTGTTTATTGAGTTGGTAAACTATCTAAACGGTAAGAATTTGTGTATTAACAAACAAGAAATTAGGAGAGAACAAGAACATATATTTTTTTGATGAAAAGGTTAACTTAGATAACAAGAATATACATACAGAAATATATCAAACAAGAAATGACAAAAAGAAAAGAAAGGAAATATGATAAAACAAGATATCCAAGAAAACAATTATGTATGACTCATGCAGGTTACATCTATCCAAATACATATGTTGTTTATCTGAATGGTAAACAATTGAAAAACAATTTCAACAATTTCAAATAAGTATAACAAATAAAAATTTAAAATAAGCTATAAGAGAAAATGGATAGAAGTATTGACCATGTAGTAATGAGCAGGTAATTCATTCCCTAAATTGCCTTCAATTAAAAGGAAACATTAAATCATTATTTTTTCATTAGGTAAGCAAGGATTGGAAACTGCAAAGAGGGAACGATAACGACTAGGTAGAAGTAACTAATCATAGCAAATCAACCGCACAAAGAATTTCTCACTGCTGTTATTTCACAAGATTGTTTTCAGAAATTTTGATTTGTTTGGGAGAATCTCAGGGGACATTTAACAAAGGAAAATTTATGACATGCCTATAACAAAGGAGTATGTCAATCCCTATATGTTCTTAAAAAAGATGCGGAAGAAAATAAGAGGAAAGATAGTTATTCCAAAGGCACTATATTGAGTCTATTTGTTATTTTTATTTGATAAGTGGCACTACATTAAGTCTTACATGCATCAATACAGTGATAACTATTTGACAGGAACATATGAAATGCCATATACCTCGAGGAAATATTCTTCCAAGTTTTGAGCATCCTTTCGAACACTGCCTCTGCCTTTTCTGTGTCACCCAACTTGCCCCAAGCCTCAATGACTGCCAAGCACTCGTCGAGGCGGGGGCTTGGCTCAACAACCTTCCATATCCTACTCACCTCATCAGCCTTGCCTAGTGCAGCATATAGAGGGAGAAGGGCCTTGCAAGCATCCCGATTCCTCTCTATATCTTCTCCCTCTAAGTCCTTCAAAACAGCCTCCGCCTTATCTATGAATCCTCCAAAGATGTAGTACTTGGCCACTGTGGCTTGAAACGGGATGTCAGGCACAAGGCCCTCAGATTTCATGCTCGTTATAATTTGTTCCATTCCCTCTATGTCACTAGAGCGACCTTTGACGTCAACCAGGAGCTTGTAAGTAAAACTCGAGGGCTTCACATTATCCTTCTCCATCATCAATAGGACATCTGCAATTTTCTTTTTGTCTATCCTTTTGTAGATCAAGATAAGCTGATTGTAAGAGAATGCAGTCATTTCGAAACCCAAGTCCTTCATCTTGTTGAAAACCTCTTCAGCTTTCTTGACGTTTGTGGTTGTTGAGCAGTTGGCCAGGAGAGTTCGGTAGACAACTTCTCCTCTCACTGGTTGGGGAAGTTTCTCAATGTATTTCTCAGCTCTGTGGATCCCATGCACTTTAGCGATAAGGTCTACACGAGATGCATAATCTCTCTCATTGACTTCAAATGGTTTGTTTGCGTCAAGCCAATCAGAGAGCTGCAAGAACAAAGGAAAGCAATGAAACCACAAGAAACAAGGGAGGCGCAAAGAAATATCCATATAAACAATCAACTTTCTAATGAGAATTTCATAGTGAGAATAAAAATAAATGAGATAATGCCCCAAGACCAAAGAAAAGAAATTACGGTTACTTATGAAAGAAAAAGAATGATCAGAGAACACTGGAACAA